GGGCAGCCTCCCTTCCCGGCAGGGGGGTCCCGCTGGAGCTCGAGGAGTTGCTGGTTCCCAGGAAGATGGCCATCAGTCCCCTAGAGAGCTGGCTGACTGCCCGCCATCTCTTGTCCAAACTGGATGTCGGGGCTCCAGAGACTGTGACTCCAGGCCAGTTCTACGAGTGTCCACCTACCCAGGTGGAGGAGGGGGCCAAGCAGGTGGACGAAGGGGTCTGGGATGCACCGAAGATGCAGTGCAAAAACGTGCTGAAGATCCGCCGGCGTAAGATGAATCACCACAAATACCGAAAGCTGGTCAAGAGAACTCGATTCCTACGGCGCAAGGTCCGGGAAGGACGCTTGAAACGGAAGCAGGTGAGTGGCTGCTTTTGGGTCTGAGTGGACAGAGTGGCTAGGAGTGTGTAGATTTGCCAAAAGTCAGTTAACAGTGTCACTCTTTCCATCCTCACAGATGAAGTTCGAGAAAGACTTGAAGCGCATCTGGTTAAAGGCAGGCCTAAAAGAGGCTCCTGAGGGCTGGCAGACCCCCAAGATCTATGTGAAGGTCAAATGAGCCTGGAGTCCTGCTTCCACACCCCACGTGCTGCTGGTGACCCATTGTAATAAACGTCAGGAGGACTCAGTGTCCTGGGCTGGCCTGCAGCCTCATCCTCCTGGTGTGAGCTCTCTAGAGGTAGCAGCTGCTGCCAGCCTCTCTGTTGTCAGAGCCCAGGAACCAAGACGTGGGCCGTGTGGCTTTCTCCACCCCACTGGCCCTTGCCCTCCATCCTCACAGTGCTGTGCCTGTGGAGGTGACCATCTTGCTGGGTGAATGAGTGCTGTGGAGTAGCTGGGAACATCTTCCACATGGGGACTAAATGTACACACAAGCCGGGCGTGGTGGCACACACCTATACTCCTAGCACTCAGGAGGCTGAGGCAGGAGGATTGTTTCCAGTTCAAAACCAGCCTGAGCTACAAAGTGAGCTCAAGGCCAGCCTAAACTACATAGACCCTGTCTCAAAAAGCCAAAAATATAAATAAATAAGTAAATATGCACACAGGTGGTAGAAGGACAGACAGGATAAGTGAGAGTGACTAGATTATATTTAATGAATGAGAATGCAAGAAGGGCCCTGGGTCCCTGGAGATGGCGGTTAATGCCATGCAGACTTCAGGTTCTGAGCTATCTGGGGTAGGGTATTGGCATGGCTCCCAGCCCTCCAGAGTGTCTCCTGTTGGGTCCTCAGCCTCTGCTACTTCTCCAGGTCTTCATTGGGGTAGGGGACTGGTCAGACATAGGGTGTAGTTGTGACAGTTGAGTTGGGGCCAGCTAAGGAAGGGATGTTGTTCCCATAGCTGAAGAACCCATGGTCTTCTCTCAATCCAGAAACCCTGTGATTCTGGATTCCCCTGGATTAAGAGGAATACACGACTCCTACCAACTGGGGACCTGGAGGGCCCTTTGTTCCTGTGTTAAGGCATAGGGGAGTTGAGCTACAGGTATCAAGAATGCAGTGTGGACCTTTATCTTGCTCCATATCCCTGACCTTATGTCTGAATTGTGCAACAGGAACACAGACTTAAATTTCTTGGGCCTCAGTGTCCTGCATTCCCTACCTGTTAGCACTGATCTGTCTCTGACCAGTATTGTGAAGGCTTCTTTGTGTGGGTGTGGGTGTGGGTGTGGTGCTGGAGGTCAAGCCCAATGCCTTGTATCCATTAAGACTACCAGAGCCACATCCCCAGCCAGGGCTTCCTTTGTGTCACTGAACCATGTCCAGGGCCTTGGCTTAAATCCCTACAGATTAGGTGGTCTTTGGAGGATGAGGAATTTGAGCACATTTCCCTAAAATTCCCAGGATAGAACAAGCATTATATATTACCCCATGCTGCTGCAGAGCCACAGGCCTGCTCTAAATGAAGTTAGAAGGTTTCTAAAAGGAGGTGTGCTCTTGGGTTGCGAGGGCTCTAGAGGTGGTGGTGGTGTCCTGTGTTTATGCTGGAGGCCACCAGAGTGTGGCAGTCAAGTTCCTGGCAGACTGGAAGGAACCTAGACGGCTGTCTGGAGCTGCCGAAGAGCCTGCCCCCACCAAGGTCCTAGAGCCTTCCTGATTTTCTTTTAAATGTATTTCCTACAGGGTCTCACTATGTAGTTTAGGGGACTAGGTAGGGATTCTCAGTCCAGGGCTTCAGCAGTGCAGCCTCCTTGGACAAGGGAGGGACATATACGTGTGCGCATGCGCACACACACGCGTGCGCGCACACATGGACATTTCCGCCCTTGGCTGGTGTCCATGACTGCTGAACACGTGCTCCCGGTATTTCCTCCCACCCCAGCCACACAACTGCCCTGTGGCTCACCCCACCCTTTGCTGGCCAAGGGAGAATAGGGTGTCCAGCTGAGCTGCCTAGAGCTTCACCACTGGGGCTGGCTGGCAGTGCTGCCCAGAGGCCATATGTGGCTCAGGCCAGCAGTCAGTGGATCCTGCTGTGCTGAGAGACATCTGAGATGTTTCGGGAAGGTAGAGGCCTGAAAGCTGCCATCCCTATAAAACAGGAACCCCTGTTGCAGAGTTAGCCCCAATGTCAGAGCTGTTCCGCACAGCACAGCCAGCTGGGCCCACCCGGGCCCACCCAGCCCCACCGGCCTCCACCCTGCCTCTAGAGGAGGCCTGGGGTGCAGAGCTGGCCTTCCTGTGGCTTAAGAGCCTTTGTTCTGTAGCCATGGCCCCTACTGGTAATTTGGGGGTTTTATTTTTATCTCTACAGTTCCAGCCCACCAGGAATGTTCCCTTTTACGTGTGGGGCCGCTCCCTGGCCCAGCCTTGTGCGACGTCCGGCCTTTCATGTTTCTGGACTGGGCAGGGGGGCCTCTTGTTGACCCTCACAAGCCTCTAGGGGAGTCTGGACCCACACCACCCTGAGGGTCCATCTGAGCCTAGCCCCGCATGCCCACAGCATTGCCCCCATGTATTCCCAGCTAAGTGATGCACTGCTGGCTCAGGCTCTAAATGGTAGGGGCCCAGCAGTGCAGAACAAAGCCTGTACTGCCAACAAGCCACTCCTTGTCTGATGTGAAGCTGAGGTCCGGAGGAAGATGCCCACTCCTGGATAGCCATGGCCTGCCAGGCACCCCCACTCACTACTGTGAGTGGACAGGCAAGAATATTCCTGCACCTGGTGTTGCAGGTATCTGTCCATCTGAGCTGTGGGCCCCTTACCCCTCTGCCATAGCAAAACTGGGGCCCATGGTGTCCAGTGTGGGGACCTTGAGCTGGGTCTCTTCAGGGCTGGTACAGAGACAAAAGTGATTTTTACTGCTGCTCTGGCCTTGGCCCCAGCTGCCCATGGTGCTGAGTGCCAGCCAGGAGCATGCTCTCTGGGGAGGGGCTCTGGTGCCTCTTGGCAGCTACACCAGTGAGCGCCTGTGCCCTCAGGTTGCCCTCCTCACCAGCCCTCAATGTCATCAGGCTGCCAGGGCTCCCCCGGGTCCTGTTGCCTCATTGGCCAGGTCCCCTTTACAACATGCCCACTGTCCTTTCCTGGTGTCTCCCTTCTTTCCCAGGCATACTAGTGGCAGTGTAGGGGACAGGTTGTAGGGTATTCCCTCCTGCTCAGGTTTGGTGCTGAGTTCCATGCAGAAACTGTGTCCTTTCCAATCAGATTTGTGCTAAGTTCTCATTTACAGGGGAGGTCCCACAATACAGAGATTGGTTGGTGGGTTGAGATTTGTTTCACCTCCAAAACTTGATTTTTAAAATTTTTTTTATAACGTACAAAATTTATATCTGTACATGTCTAAATGATTTAATACTTTTGTTGTTTTTTGAGACGGGCTGGATATTTAGCCTAAGCTGGCCTTGAACTCACTGTGCTATTCTTGCCTCAGCCTTCTCAGTGCTGGGATTACAGGTGTGCACTACCATACCCAACTAATGATTTAATAAGAGCTGGGGATATAGTTCAGCGCATAGTGTCTGCCTGACCAGCACAAGGTACCAAAAAAAGAAAAAAAGGATTTAAGAGGACGTCTTGCCGGTCATGGCGATTCATGTGATCCCATAGTCCCAGCACTCAAATTTGAGGCCAGGTGGGCTCAAGGCCAGCCTGAACTGCAGAGCGACACCCTATGCACAAGTCACACACACAAAGTCTTGCTGGGTGTCCTGATGGAATCCTATCATATAATCTCCACACTTGGGAGGCCGAGTCAGGAGGCCAGCCTGGAATACATAGTGAAACCCTGCCTTAAGAGAAAACATCTCTTCCCTTTCTCTACAGGACCTTCTCCAGAGGCTCTTTTCAAGGACCCTTTCTGTATTTGTTTTTTTTTTTTTTTTTTAAACTGAGAAAAAAGTATATATTTAGAATTAGCCAGCTGGACTCAGTTTAGATGATCCCAATTTTGTTGGCAACATCCAATGCATCATAATCAGGAGCCAGTCG